TTTGACAATATTTAACACTTATATGGTACATTACAGTTTCCAAAAACTGTAAAAACCATTAACTAATCTTAAATTCTCTTATATCGTTACATAAGTAGTATTCTCAATGGGGAAACTGAGGCAAAAAGGTTTTGTGATTTGCCCAAGATCACAGAGACAGTCATTGCAGAGCAAGGATACGAGCTCAGGTTTGAGAGCTCAGGGATTCCTGGCTCTCAGATCGGTGGTCAGTCTAGTAGACCACACTGCAAAATTTCCCATTGTTAAACTTTTGGTATTATTGATATCCACCCATTCCAAATTAGAACCTGAAAAAGTACTGTACATTTTGACTGTCTTTTCAAGTAACATTGAAGGATTGCAGGTTAAATTCAGTGTTTTTAAGTATCTTATTTCTCATTTTCCTATTTCCTTAAGTCCCACTTTTACTCCTGAATTTATATCAGTCCAAGGGCATGGAATTATTCTTTGCACTTGCCAATACAATACTATAAAATTAAGTGACATCAAGGATTGTTTAAAACCCGCAGTTAGATCAACACGAATACCCAGGAAGCACAGATTTTGGCTGAAAGCATAGAAACCGCCGCCTATGAAATTAAACACCTGCCCTTTCGCTTATAAATGAGCGCCCTCTAATGTGTTACTGAAGGTACCAGCAGTAAAGCAATCAATTCACAAACTTTTAGCTAAAACGAGTCCAGGCTATTTCACGGATTCTACTTTTCACTCAAAAGGGGAAGAGATGTCAAGGATTTCAAACCGGCCACTGTCCCATGGACAAGTCCAAACGCAGTACTGTCTGCCGTTGATAGATTAAGACACTGCAGGTGAAAGTGAAGCGAGATGCTAAACTTTCTGGATTTTAAAGTAAGAAGCGCTCTCTCCTTCCGATTGGCTAGTTTCTTCAATATCTGGTTTGAACAGCAAGCCAAGCAAACCAACCAACCGAGATGTATTGTATAAATGTACAGCCACTCGAGACAGCAACTTATTCTGCTTAGACACATCCCCAATGTTTGCCCTGGCAAAGTGACTAACGCAGTCTGAGTGGAAGCGGAGAAAAAGTATCAGGTTTTTGGTTGAGATCTTCCAAGCCGCCTATGGGATCCCCGCGTCTCGTTAAAGTGAAAGGAAATTATGGGACTCTGAAATCTCAGCCTCTCCGCGCGGGGAACCCACTATCCCCCCGCTTGTGCTTTCCGTCCAGTGCTCGGCACTGAAGTTCACAGCGCCAGGGCGGGCGCTTCTAGGCAGCTCGGGAACCGGGCAAGCGAACGGCCAAGGCGGGGCAGAAGTTCTTACCTGTGCCATGGCCAGGAGCCAGCCGCTCACGGCCAGCAAGCCGAACGCGGGGCGCACCCCCTGCGCAGCCATGCCCGCGTCTCCCGTCTCCGCTCCGGGCTGGCTCCGGCTAGAGCGCGCTACCCAGGCAGGGCGCAGCAACGCCGGGGTGGGTGGATGCGTCTTCCCGGGCAGCTGCTCCCACTTCGCTGCAAAAGTCCGCGCGGAACTTTATAGCTCGTCTCCGGTGCGGGCTCGAGGGGGCCCAGATCAGGCTCCCCCCCCCTTCTCCTTCTGGGAGCCGGGCTGCGCCCGCTTCGCCGCTCCCCTGCTGGTCAGTGGCACATGGCTCCGCTTCAGCTCCGGCTCGCCAGCCCGGCACGTCTGCCCATGCGCCCTGGGGAGGGGGAGCGTCAGAGCAGATCCTGCCCTGAGTGAGTTCACTTGAGACTTGGTTTGCACGGGTGGGTAGGGCAGGGGGAGACTGCAGCAGCAGCAGCAGCTTGCTCAGACGCATTCCCGGGCCAGCCAGGTGGCAATCCTTGCAGACAGAGCTTGTGTTCCTGCTCCAGGACAATGGCTGAGTGGAGCCTCCAGCCACCCCATGGCCAGGGTGTGGAAGGGGCCAATCCACCGGCCAGTAGCACCTCTTGGGAGTGTAAATGCCCCCACCCCTTCCCCCACTGGGTGCACAGCACCTGCTGGGGAGGGCTCAGCACTCACCGTGCCTGATATGCGGCCACTGCGCGATTACCTTCCATTCGGATCCCCAACCCACTGTGGTTTTTTCTAAATTCCTTTTTCATGGAGCCAAGCCAAACATGTATTCAAGTTCCTGGCTGAAAATTCCAGCCTTTCCACCTACTACCCTGAATGAGCAGATTGTCCACAGGACAAGTGAGACACTGACAGTGCCCCTGCTCTGCCTTACTTCGCCAGCTTCCTGTGAACAACTAAAAATGCACCTTATTTCCAGCACAAACCTGCAGGGCGCTCGGCACCGTCCACGCACATTAAACAAGGATCTAGTATAAATGTTAAAAACCTCCAAAGAAGTCTCACTATTTAAAAAGGCGTTTTCCCCCCACATTTCCCACAGTCATATCCTGAATTGCTGTTTCCAAAATCTGGTTTTTCAGAATTAGCCGGGATGCATCACCCGTGCCCTCTCACCACCAGTGAAATGTGGGAAACTGAGGCAGCTGCTCCTCACAGACAGAGGGGAACAAACTAGGAGCAGAGAGCAATAGATACAAAGCACAATGTAAACCCAAAGAGTCAGTGCAGCCAGCATGAGAGAGGAGAGATTGAGGCAGAAAGATGTTTTCCATTCCAATGTCTGAAATACAAAGAATGAATCAAATTCTTGGGAATCACAAAAGACTTATCAGAATATGACAAGGAAAATTTGGCTGATCCTGCCCACAGCACGTCACAATATGTTGCAACTTGTCCACCTGATTAGGAATGGACAGTAGTGACAGATATAGAGATACCCTGTGTTTGGGGGGGGGGAGGGGCTATGGCATCATCTGGTGTGGACTGTACCTGCCCCAGAGAGAGGTCTGTCTTTTTCTTACACTTTGGCAACTCTTGTTTAGTTTCTCAAGTCAATAAAGTCTTACTGAAAGTCTCGTTTTCATTATTATTAAAAATAAGTGGCCAGATTCCAATCTGAAATAAATGGGCATAGCCCCTGGAATTTCAAATGGAGCTGTGAAGATTTACACCAGCTGAGGATCTAAAACGTACAACATTGAACATCAGTTGAAATGTGCGATTGTTACTGTTATGTGGACTTTTGAGCCTAGGACTACATACAATGTAATGGCCCTGCGAGATCTGTAACAGCCTTATCAGGCTCTATATGTGGCCGCAGCCACCACTAGAGGAGGACAGAGTAAACATACTGCAGGTTGCACAAACTCTGATGCATCTCAGTTACTTTGTGAACATAGAATCACTGGGGTGTGTGTTTCCAGGACCAATCCCTACATTAAGGCAAGAGCAAGTGAAAGATAATGTAGGGGAAGAGGGATGATGAGGGAGAAGACAGTGGGGCTATGTGATCACTTTGGAGGCTAAGGCATGTATCTTGAGACCTGGTCAAACTAGACCATCCCTTTTGGGGGTAACCGCCCCTTCATTTGAATAACACAAACATTCAAAGATCAAACGTCCCCTCCTTGAGAAAGGTGGTAGAGATTAAACAGAAGGAACAACTAATTGGCTGATTGGGGCACTGTTCTCTGGGACCTGTTTGGAGCTGGACTGGGTGGGTTTGGAGACTAATCCAGTTCGTAAATGATGCTCGGTGATATGAGTATATGGTAAGACTTATAGGACCGGTGCTCTTTTAAAAGTCATATGCAGAAAGAAGGAGGGTGACAAAAGAGTGGTTTGTTGTATGATGAACTGAAGCATTCGGTGTATATATATATATTTCCACTATAATTCAGAAGCTACCACTCACTGTCTTTTTCAAGGGATGGAACAGCCCACCCACACATAGTGAGATCCCTGGGATCTGGGCAATGGGGTAGGCAAAACTAGGGAATCTTTTCTGGTCAGAGCCAGGATCTCCTTAATCATGTGAAAAACACAAACAAGAGGCCCTCCTCAGCTGGTGTATATCAACATACTTCCATTGAGGTCAATGGTATGATGTCAGTTTATACCTTTTGAGGTTTTGGCCCCTTTTTATGTACCTGGTCAAATATTGATCTTCATTTATACTAACAGGTTTGCCCTGAATTGTACATCAGGTATAATACCCACGCCATATATATATATATATGTTTAAATCATCATTTAAAAAGTTTATTTTGGAAAAAACCCAACTCATTATTCATAAAGAAAATGAGTCAAAACAAATAAGTCAAAATAATTTTAGGGTTTAAAAACTCGAAGTGGCATGTCACACCCAGTATGTCAGCATGTCATACACCACAAAGTCAATCCCTTTTAGAGTGGTATATAGTTAATTAATAGCCACTATACGGTGGGTAGTCACTGCAAAAAAAAAAAAAAAAAAAAAGCCCTGTGCATAAAACTACCCAAATCCCTGGCCGGTACTTTATACTTATTCACCATGCTTCTAGTGTCGGAATTTCATATTCAGTTGAAATCAGGCAGGCTATTCACTTTCAGCTATAGAACAAAACCAACAATTAGCCCTTCACCAGTATTATAAAACATTTCACAGCATTGAATGCTTCCTGCCTGGTTACAATGAAGGTGCAAAATAATTTTTCAAACATGTTTTTATCTCCAAACATCGAAGTATTCACCAGCTGCTCAGAAAAAAGGTATTTATAATGATCAG